CGCCTGTATTCTCATTGAGTTTCTTTGTCAATGCATGTCATTTTAAGAATAAATTTCCTTATTTTAACTTAAAGATATTGCATTCAAACTACATCTTCCTTAGTTTATACGCGAATTTGTGTGTTCCTAGCTACATCTTGCACTATTGCTTTCAGAATAATAAGCATAACTACAATTTGTGTAGATCAAATAACTATCTCTGAATACATAATTTACGTGCATTATATACAATTTGTAAAATTACCAAAAGTTACGTGGAAACTTTTTTTTCCCCTTTTCCAATATTGTTGGATTTTTTAGCAATCTTTAAGTTATGAGCTCCGACTATAATAATATTCTACAAGTAATATTGTTTAAATAATTAGTACCGATAATGTGGTAAACTAAAAAAAAAATTAATTTATAAACATACACGTATTAATAATAGCGCGTAAACTATCTCTTGAACATTTTCCCACGAAGTAGTTTCTAAAGGTATGCAGGCTTCGACAATTGGAAAATAGAAGTAAATATTATCCTTCCGCTGAAGTCCATATATCTTCATATGATCACCTATAAAAGTCAATATTAGTTTTATATATGATCATGCAAAATACTGCCAAATTTGACTTACCGGCTATATTAATGCCTAAGATTGTAAGAAATGAATAAATATCTTCATTATTTTTTAATTTTTTTCGAGTGGCTATATAATTATATCCACCCTTACATAAACAAGCTAACTTGTTATGATCAGATGAAACTTTTTGATCAGTGGTCGAATATCGACCACTTTCAACATAAAGCAATTCAAGATGATTCTCGCTAATTTTTATAGTAAACATTATATCCGGACGATCCCCAACTGCAGAGTTTGAGGAATTTGATGATTTATAATTTTTACTAGCACGACTTTGCTTTTCTCCTCTAAATAAAGTATATAAAAATTAATTGAAGTCTTTCAAAACTTAAAATCAGTTAATTTAAAGATTTGATATAACTTTAGTTCACAATTAATGTCTACTGGTAGGTTTTCAAGCGCAATAGAAATAAGTGGTTCCACAACTTGTGCAACATAAATTCTCTCTGATTGATTTTTGGACCAAACTGTATTTAAGTTCCAAATGCCAGTTCTAAAATAACATATTGGTATTTGTTCACTTCAATAATTTGTTAGAATAGATAATTAAAATTTTATACAATATACATACAAACATTCAAGAATTTTTCGTGCACAATGCTTTTGTGACTCTACATTTTCTACCCATTTGTTCAAAGAAGGAGCAGATTCGTCAGAAATAACCCGCTTTAGATCTTTGTTGGTATGATGTTTTTGAATTATTTCTTTACATTCTTTTGTTACGCTTTTATCTAAATTTAATCTTTCTGATAAACTTCCCTACAACAATTTAACTATAACAATTTAGACAAATAAATTTTATTCTACCCAATTACTAAAATTATTTACCTTAAGGAAATCAATTGTGTCATTTTTAAGATAAGAACAAGCCCAATCGGAGGAAATATCAATAACTTCTATTGTTAATGGATCATTATTGTCAAATTTTGATAAATCTGTGTTATTTAAAGTCTCTAATGCATTATAAACATCATCGTAAGCATCGCGTGCTTCTTCTGAATATTTTAGATTTGCCTTATTTCGAGCCTATTTTAATAGATAAATATCAATATTAGATAATACTTTCAAATCAATAGAAAATGTATCAGTATTAAAATATAATAGTGATAGTACTTTCCAAGATACTCTTTAAATTTGAAATATGTATACAAATGTCATTTTGCTGATCCTTTTTTTTACATGCAGTAGAAAACGAGGTAGCAAATTTATTATTTGCATGTAAAGAGCTAATTGCTAATACAGTAGCTTTTACCTAATAATAAATTAAAACATTAGATAAAAATTAAATGCAATCAAATTTAATTGATAATAAAATTAAGTCAGAAAATGTTTGGCATGCCCTAATAACTTATTAAATAACAAGGTCAGCCCCACTTCAGAATCTCAAAAGATGATTGGTACAACAAGGCCGACCCCACTTCGAAGGTATTTAAGCAAATTAAAAATACACCTCTACTGAGTCGTGCTCGCTGTATCAATTCATAATGGAACTCTTACTAAGCTGTGCTTGTTACATAAGTTTTAATGTAGTAAAAATTCATCATACTATAATAGTAGTAGTCTGATTAAAATAATATTTACCGTATCTATTGGTGTT